TTTTTTAATTGGTTTCGTTGCGGAGGACGACATCCAACAAAGATTATCTTTAGAGAATCACATAGGTCATCTAAATCTAGTGGTAAGGTAGTAGCTATGTTGATAATATCTTGGGGAAAACTTATGCAATTTCCCTTTAAAGCTGATTGAGCTGTACTTGTCGAATGAAAAGGCGAATGTAATTTGACAATGCAGCTATTATGTCTATAAAGAGCAATCAGCTTTTGCTCAGGAATTGTTAATCCTTGTAGTTGTTCTGGAACATCCCCAACCCATATTTTGTTGGCAGGCGAAAATTTTGGTATTTTCTCTTTTACTAGAGACGACTAACGCTCTGAACAAATATCACAGTGAACCGAATATCGTCTTTTTCTCTGAACAGTTTTATGCAATCCTGCTGTATAAAAAACGATACCATTTACACAAGTAAATGACTTTTTAGTCATCGTTGATTGAGCATTTGTATCTGAAATTAAAAAAACAAGATTATTTACTCTGTTAGTTTACGTATTAGCAAGATCAACCTCCTGCTGTTTTTGTCTGAATCAAAACCATGGCAAGGTCGTCACTCATGTTAAGATCATCATGTGACTGGAATAGATACGTTTCCTGCATTCCCGGAATTATGCCATAGAAATCATCGGGTACTTTCAGTAATTCAATAGACGGTATTTTACTGAACGGTATGTGGTGGAGATCACGTTTGTAGCAACGAACGTTACAAATACCGCAAACACCTTCTTGCAGAGAACTCATCGACATATGTTGAATAAAATTCTTTAAACAGTTCTTCTTACGTTCAATATCAATAGATTTTGGCCATTCAGAGTCGTTACTTTCATGTAGTTTTGTTTTCATCCTTTCTTGTTGGTGCTTGCCACTTTTTTGAAGTAGCTTTCTCTGGCGAGCAGATGCGCACTGACGTTCGAGTTCATCAGATGTGTAAGCAGCTCGTCTTGCAGTACTTCTTTTGCGAGCTACTACGCGCTGTTCTTCGGCTGTTTTTGGTGACGCTGTAGCTCGTTTACTCATAGTTCGTTCAGTAGCAAGTGTTCGTTGTAGCTGGATTTCTTTCGGTGTAAGAGTAGCTCTCCATGCTGCAACTTTCTCACGAGTTTGCTCTCTCTGTTCTTCGATTTCTTCCAGCGTTAAAGCAGCTCTTCTAGCTGCACTTCTGTCTCGAGCCATAGTACGTTCATGTTCTACTTGTTCTGGTATCAAAGCAGCTCTTCTTGCTGCACTTCTGTCCCGAGCTACAGTGCGTTCATGTTCAACTTGTTCATATGTTAAAGTAGCTCTTCTAGCTGCATTTCTGTCTCGAGTCACAGCACGTTCACGTTCAACTTGCTCTGGTATTAAAGTAGCCCTTCTAGCAGCACTTCTGTCTTGAGCTGCAGTACGTTCGTGTTCAACTTGTTCTGGTGTTAGAGCAGCTCTTCTAGCTGCACTTCTGTTTCGTGTCACAGTACGTTCGTGTTCTACTTGTTTCGGTGCTAAAGTAGCTCTTCTAGCTGCACTTCTTTCTCATGCTAGGGCACGCTCTCGTTCAACTTGTTCTGGTGTAAGGGTAGCTCTTCTGGCAGCACTCCTTTCTCTGGCAAGCGTGCGTTGTCTTTTAGCTTCTTCTGGTGTAGCTTCAGCTCGTTTAGCGGTCATACTTTCACGAGCTTTTTGACGTCTCCGATCCATATTTGTATTTTCAACATTCGTATAGTTTTCAGTTACTTGTAGTCTTCGTTTAGTCCGAGGAGTTGTTGCGATTTCCTGGTTTACCGTGGAAAGTGTCGATGACATTTGAAATTGTTGAGTTTCGTCATCCTCCGCATTAAATTCAGGAATGCGAACTTGAGTTAGTATGTTATTCTTCATTGTCGATTTAGTTGGCGTCTGTAAGTGAAAGTATGTTTTTTTTGTAAAAAGCTCTGTATTAAAAGATTGAACTCACCAAGCCTGAACCAGTGGCTTTCGGTTCAGTCATGCTGTTTTGATACTGAGATTCGTTCGACGGAAGTAAAAGTGGTACGAAATGATTAGGTGACCAATTACCAGCATTGCTTCTACGCGCATGTATTTCACTTTGAGTATGTGACCAGAATATATAAATTGTTTTAGATGAAATACTAGATTGAGCATGCTCAAAAGTACTATTCATGATGTCTAGATCGGGTCGATAATCAATTCTGGGATAAATACTTCGTATGTTGCATTTGAGAACATTGCTCAAGGCTGCGATTTCATAAAGTTCCGAGAATGAAAAATTATGGGTGACATTTTTTATCACGTCATTGAGTGGTCCGACAATATGCGCAAGACGATTGCTGTAGAAAATGTCATTCTTTACTAGTTCCATTAAAGTTCGTACTAGACGAATGACAATTAAATAATTTTATACTAACGTCATTGGAACTTACCTCTCAGCTCACTAGGTGTTAACACTGTACTGCCGCTCAAACATACAATGGAATTATAGAGACAATTCCCATCTGCAATGACGTCAACTGGAATCATATCTTGAATATCGAAAGATGTTTGTTGAAGATATATTTTGGCTTCTTGATCAATTTTATGAACGGCTGGATCAAAATGAGTGACAGGTACAAAGTGAATTGGTGTCAAAAGCCACTGCAGCTAAATCATCAGAGACAGAATACCACTTAATACATGTAAGAAATAGACTTACGGTTTCAATTTGTTGACAAAGAGCCTTAATTTGATCATAGTAATTATCGACGATAGATGCTTTTCCAAGTTGCGTTAAAAAAATCGCGAACATTGTAGATCTATCCATCGCACGACAGCTTATGCAACAAGCTGTCGCAGCCCATTGTGTACAAAATATGCATTGATTATTCATATTAATCTTACACAATATAAAATGAAGCTAATGCAAATGTTTTCAACAAATTAACAACTAAAAATTCTTGATCTAAAATGCAATATGTTAAGCGAATGGAAATAAGCTACAAAGAACATTATTTACAAAACAGTTTACAGAATGAAGAATTTAATAGATTTTTATTTTGGATAAAAAAATACAAAATTACGACGATTTGAGATAATTTGAAAAATGGTAGTCGTAAAATTTCTACTATACGTTATAGGTGCTGTACTAATTTTACACAAAAATTTTTGATAAATAGTGAAAAGCACATAAGATATAGTAATTGGAATCTGTCGCAGTGTATTGCCAACTGCCATTTCAAATTTTTTTTCGATTGGGCACCTATGAGTTTACTTTTTGATCACCATCCCTCTCAAGTTCCACCATCGATTTAATTTCTCACAGGACACAGTGCAATCAGTGTCATCATCATTGCATATAAGACTTAGATTAAGAACACGTAATGGTGCTTGGATTTTTTCAAGGTGATAGGATTCGTCACATTGTTCTAAATGTACATTAACAAATATCCGTAGCAGTGTTGGAGCAGACTCAAAAAGGCAAATCCACCTTTGATTAACAACAAAACCATCAGCGTCTACAAGACCGGTCAGCTTCAGTTTTACGAGGCATGGTGCTCTTGCTACTAGTTTAATAATCCAGTTAAAAGATACTTCAAGTAGTCCAAGAGTAAGAGTGCGAACATTCAGGAAATTGAATGATGGTATAAGTTTCTGATTGCGATCAAGCAAGCCAATGCTAAGAAAACGAATACCACTAAAGTTAGACATTTCCTGTAAAAAATCATTCCAGCTAATTGTGGAGCCTGAACCAAAAATAAATTGTTCGATTTCGCTTGGTATCGTAGTGAATGTGGAGACTTGTCGACTTTCTACTATCTCATCAATATGAACTTCTAGTCGACGCAAAGAGGAAATAGATAAAATAGGGATTAATAATTCTTGTATAGATCCAATTGTAGGAATAACAACGGTAAGTTGGTTCAGTTTTGTGTTGCTTCCCCAAATATTTGTCATGATTCCTGCGATCCATTCATTTTTGCCGATAAGTTTGAGTGATCGAAGCTCCAAACAATGTTGAAGAACTTCAAAAGAAACAGCTTCGTTGAGAGTTAGAGAAATAACTCGATTCAAAGGAATTTGTTGTGGGACTTTTTCATTATGATCAAGCTTAAGTCCACTTAAAAAGAACCTGTAGTATTCATTATATAAAACTTGATCGACAGCATTTGTAATGGATGAAAACGACGTAAATAAGTCTGAAATTTCAAAATACTCAAATATGTGCTCCCAAATATCACAGCATAAATCATGAATCGTGGTACGTTTTCCTACGAATAAAAAAAACAAGATCATACAAGTTTCCTGAGTGAAAAAAAACTGTTTTACTTTCAAATTGTGTGCTGTGTTGAATGATTTTACAACTTGTACTGTCACTTTCAATTTGATAGTATTGTTTTCGATAATTATCCATATTACCTGACGGTAAAGATTGGCAGGTGAAAAAGATTTGAAGTGAAAAATAAGGAAACCTATCTAAAAGCAACAAATATTATTATTTTCTGAAGGATAAACTATTTAGTGGTGTAAAAGTAGTCTACAGTATAAAGGCTAATGAGTATTTTAATATAGTGACATGTTTATAATGACAATTATTCAATTTCAATGAGAAGGATATCAATTTGTTTAGATTTACATGGCAAAAAAAACAATATCAAATCATTCTTCGTCATCATAATTACGCAACGTGAGAATAACAATTGAACTGAAGCATTGAGAGAAGGATCTTTTTAATAAAATGAATAAACTCATCTAACTACAAATATTGAAATACATACTTCTTGTAGAGAAATTCCGTCACATACAACAACATAAAAATCGTCAATGACCTATATGTACTTGTTATAATAAGAATTATAATAGCAAAATTATTCAACTACAAAAACACACAAAAAAGATAATTTTTATTTATTTCGCTGTATGTCTATTTTTCGTAAGGGTGATAGTTTATTGTTGTTGTTTTTGTTGTTTTTCAAGCATCAAAGCCATTTCAAGTAATTCTTCGTCAGATATTTCTGGTATCGTATTGTTGCTCGTTTGTGTCAAGCTGACTAGCGTAGCTGCGCTAACAAATTTAATTGCAGGCGGTGCAGCAGCAATCAATTGATTCTTTTGGTCTGAATGCTCATGATTAACCATGGTTTTTTTTACTTCCATTTGAATATCGCTAGAACTACTTCGCTTCATTTTTTGTGCCGATAATTCAACTGTTGCCTATTATAATAACTGTATGGATATTGTATAAGAATATAGACCATTACTACCTTATCTTGGGTGGATACGATGCTTGAGTCCGAAGATTTGTTCATATTCGTGCTTGTTGCTGGTTCTAAAGAGGTCAGATATAAATCAAGACATAGTCGCAAAGAACAAGGCTTCTGACATTTTACTTACTAGATGTATGTGACATTTCGTTTTCTAAGTAGTATGGAAAAAGTTTTGAATTTTTAACAATAATCTACAATGAAAGATTTCTTAAAGAATGTTTGAGTTTTTTAGT